CACACCAGCCATCGTATGCCGGCCGTGAAAGCCTTCGACAATACAATAGGAATATCTTTAGATCATGAATCAACAGAGAAAAAGAAAGTACAAAATTTGTTCTACCCAAAAGAGCTGCAGACTCCACTGGTTTGAAGAGATTCCTCTGCTTTTGGAGGTGACAATGCAAGAAAAAAAGAAATGTAAGTACAACTAGCGAAGCAAAGAATTGAAATAGAGGGGGAAAAGCAGTAAAAAGCAATTTTGAAAGAATGGAGTTAACTGCTCACTCTTATGGAAAGCCCTTCTTTCCAGCCCATTTCTTTACCTATCAAGGTTCCTTCTAATTGCTACCTAATTTTGTCAGTCTTCTGTAATGAAAAAATTGACGATAATGGACACAGAACTAAAATCAGTGCCCTTTCTCCAGTTTGACCCAGAACCATTGATGAATATTTGAATAAACAGCTTCAAACCAGCATGAGCCTCTGAAACCCTGAAGTATACCACTCCCCAAATCCTTCCAAGAATTTTTATGTGTTAGTAATTTTTAATACAACCAAAGAGAACTACACCATTGATATTTAATTAATTTTATTTAAATCAAATTTAGACATTTTCTTAGCCCTGGTCACACCAGAGAAAGGCAAATGTGGCCCTAATGCTTGAAAAAAGTCTTTTGCACATGCATTTCAGGGGCTTCTCGTCATTCTGGCTCCTTTTGTGAGAGAGGAATTCTTCACCCTGAAGCCCTTTCCACACACTCTACATTGATATGGTTGACTCAGGTCTCAGTTCTACAGCATGGATGTGAGTCTGATTATTTTTTGGTATTTTCACATCCCAGAGGCAGTTCCCATTTTCATTTCTGTGTGTTTGGTCAGGAGGAACTGAATTAGTTTTCTAAAGTAGTTTTTCTTAATTTCATATTATTTTATTTTGGTCCCCACTGATTTCCAAAGGTCTTCCTTCTTGCTTGATCATTTGCAATGTCAGCACACTGGAGTTGTTTTCAACTTCATTTTCCTGGGTATCCCTAACTTTGGAGGAAAAGAGAAAGAGAGAAGGAAGGAAGGAGAAGGAATCATGAGAAATTCAAAGCACAAATTCTCTTAGCTGTCACTTTTAATTCAATATCATGATTATTCAGTGGAAGAATTCAATATTCTATTCTACCTCTCTCTGTATACTTTGATGGAACTTGAGTTCCCTTTGGTTTATAATATTGCTTCTAACCCTAGAATCTCTCTGCTGCACCATTTCCAACTTTTTGGGAGGACAGAGAAGTGGAGGGTCCTCTGATGAACTGTGAGTGTATTAAGTAATGAGAAAGGGAGGGGAAAACAATTGTAAAAAGACTAGACAAAAGAAGGAAAGTTTAAACTATGGGAAATGACTGTGAATCAGTTGAATTTCTATCTGCATGTCTGCTGTAGCAGAAGAAACACAAATAACATTTGTCTTGAAGAGATGCATCAGGGAGATGCAGCTCCTTCTACTTCCTGGGGAAGCAGCACCTATTAAATGTCTGCCTGATCACATCCCTTCCAGAACCATGATCAACTGGAAACTGGGATAAATGTAAACTTAAGAACAAAAGATTTTCTCTTATTGATGTGCAACAGCATTAGCCACCTTCAAATGACAGTACGTACCTTCAAAAATCTGCTGTTCATAATTAAAACGGCAGGTGCCCATCGTTTTCATTTTCATTGGTAAATTCATCTCTCTGGGGCTGCTAGTTGTGAGGTCAGACTCAAAACAACTTTCATTTTCTGGTTCAGTATATGTTAATACCGTATGCAAATAGGAAATGCACAGATTTAACCAACTAAATCTACAGTTCACATGGATTCTCACCCAAATGGATCTGTGTATGGCAAATTAGGTCATTCTTCCTCCTTAAACTCTTCCCACACTCCACACATTTATATGGCTTCTCCCATTTGTGGATCCAGTAAGCTGACTGCTCTGGATAAAGTTCTTTCCACATTCTTTCCACATTGTGTGGATCTGTTGCTTTGAAACTCAGGGATCCAAGTTGGCGAGCACCTGGAAAGAAATTAGTCCCTACATTTGGGAGAGCAACACTAACTTTGCAAAGTGGCTTCCCCTTCCTCCACCGACAATATGAACCACAATATTTCAGGCAAAGTGAAAAGTGTTTATTAACAGTGGTCAACTCTTTATATAGAGTACAGAAACAAATAATACAAATATTCAATATTTGTGTTAGATGAATCATGAATCACCGAATCAAACAATAGAAGACATTGATTCTGGATAACATACAAGTGGCAAATTTATGGGTTACATCACTCCTTTTCTCAGTCGAGTTTGTTTCTTTCTTAACACATGCAAGTGTATTCAAGGACTCCAGAATACACTCCCAATTGTTTAATTGCTGAAAAGGCTAGTTTTCACATGTGAAAGGAAATGGCCGTGCCCCAGAGGAGAAACATGGTTTCTTAAAGTTAGAAAAAGAGGCCTAGACTGCCATGCTAAAATGCTACTACAGTATAACCTTTTTAAAATGCTAATAATGAAGCCTAAAATTCCAGGTAACAGATCCTTTCATGGGAAGTAAGATAACTACTCTGAATAAAGGTCTTTCCACACTTCATACATTCATATGGCTTCTCCCCGCTGTGGATCCTTTTATGAGAAATAAGTTCACTGCTATCAGTAAAGCTCTTTCCACACTCCACACATTTATATGGTTTCTCCCTAGTGTGGATCCTTTTATGGGAAGTAAGGGAACTGCTTGTTCTGAAGCTCTTTCCACACTCTCTGCATTTATATGGCTTCTCCCCTGTGTGAATCCTTTTATGGGCAGTAAGTTGGCTGCTTCGAATAAAGATCTTTCCACACTTCATGCATTTATATGGTTTCTCCCCTGTGTGGATCCTTGTATGGAAAGTGAGGTGACTATTTTGAGTAAACTCTTTTCCACACTCCATGCATTTATATGGTTTCTCCCCTGTGTGGATCCTTTTATGGAAAGTGAGATTATTGTGTTGGCTGAAGCCCTTTCCACACTCCATACATTTATATGGTTTCTCCCCAGTATGGATTCTTTTATGAGAAGTAAGATTATTGTGTTGGCTGAAGCCCTTTCCACACTCCATACATTTATATGGTTTCTCCCCAGTATGGATCCTTTTATGAGAAGTAAGATTATTGTGTTGGCTGAAGCGCTTTCCACACTCCATGCATTTATATGGTTTCTCCCCTATGTGGATATTTTCATAGGAAAAAAGGCAATGACACTCACTAAAGCTCTTCCCACACTCCCTGCACTGATATGGCTTCTCCCTTGTGTGGATCCTTTTATGGGAAATAAGAGAGCTACTCATTCTAAAGCTCTTTCCACACTCCATGCATTTATACGGTTTCTCCCCAGTATGGATTCTTTTATGAGAAGTAAGATTATTGTGTTGGCTGAAGCCCTTTCCACACTCCATACATTTATATGGTTTCTCCCCAGTATGGATCCTTTTATGAGAAGTAAGATTATTGTGTTGGCTGAAGCCCTTTCCACACTCCATGCATTTATATGGTTTTTCCCCAGTGTGGATCCTTTTATGGGAAGTAAGGTTTCTGTGTTGACTGAAGCCCTTTCCACACTCCATACATTTATATGGTTTCTCCCCTGTGTGGATCCTTTTATGGGAAACAAGATTATTGTGGTGGCTGAAGCCCTTTCCACACTCTCTGCATTTATATGGCTTCTCCCCTGTGTGTATCCTCTTATGCGAAATAAGTTCACTGCTATTAGTAAAGCTCTTTTGACACTCCACACATTTATATAGTTTCTCCCCTGTGTGGATCTTCTTATGGGAAGTAAGGGAACTGCTTGTTCTGAAGCTCTTTCCACACTCTCTGCATTTATATGGCTTCTCCCCTGTGTGGATCCTTTTATGGAAAGTAAGGGAACCACTATGACTGAAGCTCTTTCCACACTGCACACATTTATATGGCTTCTCCCCCGTGTGGATTCTTTTATGGGAAGTAAGTTGGCTGCTCCGAATAAAGATCTTTCCACACTTCATGCATTTATATGGTTTCTCCTCTGTGTGGATCCTTTTATGGAAAGTGAGGTGACTATTTTGAGTAAACCCCTTTCCACACTCCATGCATTTATATGGTTTCTCCCCAGTGTGGATCCTTTTATGGGAAGTAAGATTACCCTGTTGGCTGAAGCCCTTTCCACACTCTATGCATTTATATGGCTTCTCCCCTGTGTGGATCCTTTTATGGACAGTAAGAGACCCGTTTGCACAGAAACTCTTTCCACACTCCATGCATTTATATGGCTTCTCTCCTGGGTGGATTCTTTTCTGAGATGTAAGGGACCCATTTTCATGAGAAAGAGTGAAAGTCCAACTGTAATTTTTTCCATTGTCTCTGTACATATAATCTTCTCCTTTGGTTTGGGTTGGATAGTGTTCATTTACATCTACTTTGTCTTTGAATAGTTTTACACTTTTCCCAATATAGTTTTTCTTTATTTTTCCTTGTTGGGCAACAAAGTCTTGCATCTGAGCATCAATGGAAGATGAGCTTTCCTGATTCCAATTATTTGACTGGTTTCTCTCTTGCCTTTCTAGTTCCATTTGAATTGCAGGCTTCTCCGTTCCGTCTCCACGCCTGATCATTTGGAGTGGTTCCCTGGAATCTTTATTCTCCTGCCCATCATTACCTTCAAAGGAAAAGAGAAATGAAAATGATAGCAAGGTTAGAGAAGAAGATCAAATTGTACGAAGTGATATGAATTTCCTTCTGAAATTTTGCCAAATCCCAATATCTTGCAGGTTTGCATGCTTACAGTGGCATGTATAGGAATTATAATTTCTTTGAAAATATCTAAAGCATCCTTTTTGTTTAGAATTATGCTTACATATTCTAATTTCACCCAGAGTCAGCTTTGAGTTAAGGAAGAATCAGGGGAAACATCCCAGGAGGTATTAGGAGAAAACCTAACGTTTATTGGAGGGGGGCCAAATCCAGCAGAGACCTGTGAGAACTAAATCTATTTTGAGAGTCGTCCTTTTCTTCCT